ATATGTTAAGTAATTCTGCCCTTCTTGTACATGTAGGTACTTCCAAACAGCAGGCCTACTTTGTAGGAGTTCTTTCTCTCTGCTTCCTTGATTTATTATTAATCCAAATGCCCCACAAACAATACACAAAGAAAACTTTGGGGACAAGGAGGAAGTCAGGAGACCTGACTGCTGTTGGTGCTACCCTTATAGGCCATGTGACTCTGGTTTTCCACATGCTCACCTGTAAAATGAAGAGGAAACTCTGCTGGCAGAGGTGTTTTAAAGATTAACAACAATAAGGAGGGACAGAGAAACTAGCATGCATCTAAGTGCCCTACAAATATCCATTGATTTAACCCTTTCCAGAACACTATAGAGGTCAATACCTCTATCCTCACTTTACAGTTGAGGAAACTAGGGCACAGAGAAGTTAAGTAATTTGTCAAAATCTTATGTTCTCCACAATAATCTTAAAGTGGTAGTAGAGATAAATAAATGGAAGAGTGTAACATAAAAATATCATACTATGAGATTTTAAAAATACACTGACATATTCTACCAATCAACACTGTCTAAAGCAGAATTTCTAATAGCTAAAAAATGAGAAAAAATAATAAGCTTTAAATATTAGTATATAAATATAACTATAGGGATAAAAAATAAGTATGCTATTCAGATATCTTTATTATATATTTATTCCTATAATCAACAAATGTTGATCAAGTATGTATGTATAAGGCATTGGATGCTGTGCTAACACATCAAAATAAAATCCTTTCCTTCAAGGATATGGACAGAAATTTAGATATATTAGCATAATACAAGGCAGAATGTAATATGTATCATAAGAGAAAAATGATTAGATGGGGAAGCTCATGAAGGAATGGCAGGTAAATGGGAAATAGAGATAACACGCAGGTAAAGTTGGCATTGAAGTTAAACCTTGAAGAATGAACATTGCAAGAGGCAATGACCTATGCGTAGGGGCATTCCAGGCAAAATAACAGGGACTAAACACTTTGAGTAAAAAGTAATATAGTCATTAAGATATTGATTATACAAAAAGTATATTTCTGCCTTTGAGTTCTTTAAAAACATTCTTTAATTCACGTATTTCACTGTCTGATTCACTTAATATACCTTTTCCATTATCTGAACAACTGTTATTACCTAACACACATTAGTCTTAAAGCATATAAGCATGCACTGTGTTTAACAAAATAGAGGAAAAGGTAAATATGGTCCTATAGAATAGAAGAGTCTCATCAGATCATAGAGTATACAGATCCTTATTCTGTTCTAAGATTAATTCAAAATTATTTCTCCTAAGCCTCCATTAAAACAGGCAATAAATACAAGAAATAGTGATTTTGGATGTGTCCCCAAAAAAACTCTTTTAAAAAAGTTTCTTTATACTGCATTCATTCAGAACATGTTTTATTAAAATAACCACACAAACAAGCATTGCTCTAAAGTCCAATACTTATACAACACATTTAGGGAAGGAAACTTTTAATATTAAAAGATAATCACTGGGATATTGTGCTGTTCACCAAAGATTGACACACTGTAATTCACTGTACTTCAATTAAAAAAAAGATAATCAGCAAACAGTAGCTTATTCATAAGGTTACTTGGTAGCTATCTCTGGTACAAAGCATATATAAAAGGAAATTATAGAAAACTTTGGTGAAAACTTTATTGATCCCAAGACTGTTAGAACCATTTCCAAAGTTTTGTTCCTTCTTTTATTATAATGATAATATTATATTTCTACTATCAGTCTTAAGTTGAAAATTGTGCATAACCATTTAATCACTCAAAAATGAATGATTAATCAATATATCAGAGACTATACAAGCCAACTAGGGCTCAAATATTACAATACTGCCATAATTTTCATAAGGAAATAAAATAAAAATTTTTCACCATATAGAATTTAAATCAATTTTTGACTGACCAATCATAAATATGGCTATGTTACTCAACCATACATTCAGTAGATAGGACTTGTTTGTGAAATGACATTCCCTTAAGCACTGAAAGAGGCAATCATTCTCTAGAATATTTTCTATCAGGTTGAGCACAGGCTGCTTCTTTTTTCTTTTTTTTTCTTAAACAGTATTAGGACTTGAATTAGGACTCAAACTAGTACTCAGTTCTACTAAGTAGCAATTAAGATAAAAATAAAGATAATTATTTCATGACTTTACAAGCCAATAATCTCAATGTTTATTGATCATCTACTATACTGAAGACTATGTCAGGCCCTACAAATGATACAAAATTAATAAGATTCAGTCACTGTCTATAAGAAATATATAACTGAGCAGCATAGTTAAAATAGTATACATATAACTATATAAGAATTGAGAATATAAATGCCCTAAAACTGGTTAAAGTGAGAGCTCTTGAGGTTCCTTCCAAGAGAAAAACATTATAACAGGTAACAATTACCTCATCTCCCATCTGTGGGACAAATGGGGAACGTCGTGGTATGGTATCCAAGATCCACTGAGGGGCAAACCATTCTTCATTGGGCTCACCTGCCATAGAAACCAGTCCTCCTTTCTAAAATATAGTTCACAAATATATAAACTATAAATATATGAACAGTAGTACGGAACATAGCAGGCAGAGAATATTTAAAACATCAGGTTATAATAAGACTTAAAACATACAAATTGTAGATATTTGCTTTTACCAATTAATCATGTACAATTTTTGTACCAATAGAACAATCAAGTGAATTCTTTAACATGTTGCTCAATTTTGGCTTACAATATAACACTTTATACTATCTAAAAGCCACAAATTTTACTCTTCATGTCCCTAGAGTATCACATAAATTCAAAAAAAGTAACACAATAACTTCTTGCCAATAAAATGATGACAATCAAGAAGATAATTCAGTCTACTAACACAAGAAGCTACAGAATATATACATAATACATATTTAAATTACTATTCAAAGAACTATGTGGATTAAATCTTGACATCATTCAAATGAAATTATAGTGGGGAAAAGATACATCATTTGGGTGAAATAAAAACATAAATAGAAGACCCCTATTCAATTTTTCATATTCTTCCATTTTTTTAAGTCAAAAATGTACAGAAATTTATGACTGGTGACAAGAATAACACTTTTATCCTATAGTGGCTTACTTAAAACTCTACTGCATTTTAACAAATAACTGTCAATATGTTTTAATTTAACAACAATTAATATAATAATGAAAATATCCCAGCATCTACTTTTGATGAAAGAAAAATTTCAAAAACTCTTTACATTTTAAAGTCATTTTATACAATTTTACTTAGTTTCTCATATGGAATATTATTTTTAAAGAAAAGTTAAGTACTGCTACTAAATTGTTAAGTATCAAAGGCAAAAACAAAAAAACAACAAAAACATCCTGTAAACTTACAAACCTTCTTTCTAGTCTGTTTAGGTTTCTTTTGCCTCTCGTCTAGTGACTTCAAATTCTCCTCCTCAGAGCTGCTGCATATTTTCCGTGTTGCCTGTCTGGTTTGTCTTTTTGGAGGCTGCAAATTTATTCCAGCATCTGCTGTCCAATCAGAATATTCACTTGATGAATCACTGTAAATAAATCAAAATTATGAATATGTACATTTAGAAGAGGAAGCGTTTTGCCTCATAATTGAAAGATGATCTTTTGTAATCAGCCAGCATTATAAATGACATGGTTTGATTTTATTCTAAAAATATTGATAAAAATATCAATATAGAATTTTTATCATTACCTAAGTGATTTTAGTGAAACACTTCTTGGATAAAGTATAATGCTTAGTTTCCCATAGCAGGATTTAAAATTCAAAATTCCTGTCCAAATCACAAAAGCTTCTTTAAATAAAGATGTTCCTTATCCCTGGAAATGGTTAAATATAGTTGTTTTAAACCTGAAATAAATACAGATAGCCTGCCAAGATGTAGAATCTTGGATTTACAAAGAATCTTATTTTACAGATGAGGGGAACTAAAAGCCCATGGTGACATGCCCAAAAAGATATTGGTAGAGCCAGGATAAAACAACAGGTCTCTGGGCTTCCAACCCAATAGTCTTTCTACTATAAAATATTACAGCTTTACCAAATTCCTACAAGAACATAATTTTACATTAAAACTGACAAATAATTTTGACCAAATCAAAACCATTAAAACTACCTGGAGGAACTTTCACTTTGCCATTCAATAACAGGATCCTCTACAGAAGCATCACTTGTGCCAACTGTTTCATCTTCCTGCAACAGAGTCAACAGTTGAGATATATGGTTATTATTAACTAGCATATATTACCTGTTTTATAAAATTTTTTATATTCCTCCCTCTAAAAAAGTTCTAGTTAAAATGTATAGAATCATTTTTCTACACATACTTGTAACTCACAGCTAAGTCTATCAAGTATTTAAAAATTTCTAGCGTCTACTATCTTATTGATCAGGCATCTTTTATTATTTCAAAGACTCAATAGACTCCCTAAGACTCACAAATATAACCATCTTAAATTTTTTTAAAATCATTGTTTTAAAAATATCTATATGCCTTTAATAAGTTAATATAATTACTCTCCATAAAAGTTAATAATCTTTTTATTCTGTAAGTTGTCAAATATACCAAAGTAGAGGAAATAGATAACCCTTGCGTACACAACCTCCAGTTTAGACAATGACTCAGTGACTATCTTGTTTTATATGTATCCTCACAACTGCCTCATACTCCAGGGATTATTCTGAAGTAAATCCTGAGGGAAAAAATTTTCACTATAAATATTTAAGATTAGGATTCTTTTTAAAAATATAGCCACAACACTATTATTACATTAAAAAGGTAGCATCAATTCTTGATGATGTGATTCATTCTTTTCAGATTAAGATTATCATGGGTGGGGGAGAGAAGAAGTGATATCATTGATAAGAGTTAAAGAATTGTGAATGATTGGAGAATAGGTGTACCGTACAGTGTCAATACATAATTAAACCTTCATTATTCACTTAACACTACAGCTGTAAGAGAACAAGGAAAGGACTGGAGAAGAGAGGAACATGAAGAAAAGAATTTCTATAGTCTTTATTCCATTACCATGAAAGAAGTAGGTCTGAAAAAAAATAATTACTCAGTAAAATCTCCAAGACTGGTAAAATCAACAATTACATAGTCAACAAGTTCTGGACTGTATAGCTAGTTACCACTGTTTATATTCTACTTCTTTCCATTTCTAGGCAGATTTGCTCTCATTGTCTTTGTGATTTGCTCTCACACTCTCAGTATCCCAAAGCCAAACTTTTCCTGGCATATTTGATACTCTCAACCAAGATAATATCTTAGGTATAAATAAGAAAAGATATCCAAAGGAATTCAATATAGTGCTCAGATTTGCTGATTAAATGTCTTATTAATAAATAATCATCTCATAAGAAAGTTATTAAAATAATTTTCTATTAAAGTGACCCTTAAAAGTAAACCCAAAATTTTGTCAATTTAAAAAGAAGTAAACCTAAAGTTTATCAAATTGCTATTTCTTTTTGCAATGTGCAAACTTTCAGCCTTTCATAGAAAAAAAGAACTTTGAAAAGGAATCTAGATACCAAATATGCCTTAACTTCTTTTTGATTTTACAAGGTCTTGGACACTGATTCACTGACAGCCTTATTTTACTAAAATCTAACTGAGTAATCAAAAGAAAAAAAGTAAATCCAAAGTGGTGATACTAACTGGAAAACAAAAATTACATTGATTAAATAATAGCAGATATCTAACCTCTGAGGAGCTATCTGAGTCTTCCTGTACACCTGAATTTTGACATGATGCTTGGGAAGTATGCTCTATATTGGACCGTGTTTGGTAAGTATGCTGACGCTTGCGCTGTGTCCTTCGCAAAGACCGCCCACAGCTTGGCTGATAATCATTCTGTAAAACAGAAGGAAAATGGACTTAAAAAAATGAAAGGCTCAATGAATATACACAAAAGCACATATATAAGCAAATCAATTTGGCAGGGGTGGGATGAGGGCAGAGGTAAGGGATAGAAATAGATCCCCAAAAAGAAAATCCAAAATACATTTTTATACAACACTTTTATATTAAAAAGATACTACATTTTATATATTTAACCCACTTCCATTAATATTGATCACTTTCCTTTTTTGAGAACTTTGTGATCAAATTAAAGACAGTGCTGAAAGTCTAAGTTGCCAACAATTTGCCCACTGGGAATCTACATTTACCACATTATCTATAATTTATTACAGGATGAAGCAAAATATCTATATCATATCTATCTACATATAATTATTAATATAACACGTGTTTCTTTAGCACTACAAAAAACTGCATTTAGTAAACAGGTCAAAATAAAGAGTTATTTTTTAACAACTAAAATGTAAAGTAAAAACTGTTTTATTCTAACCTTTACTAGTATAAAATATTATTACTGATATACCATGTCAAAACTACAATCCTAATATGTCATAGGGAGTAAACAAGTTTAAAGGTCTTATAAATCAGTATCAAGGGCAAGTTTCCTATACATAAATGTTTCTCATTTTCAATATAAATAAAAATGTGTACAGATCTAACCATCCTATTTATTAGTCTCATACAAGTTTGATATTTTATAAATTAGCTTAGCAGGAAAAAGGAATATAAATCATGGATCTTAGTCATTCAAAATCTTGAAGAAAATAATTTTACCAGTGAACATTAAATAAGCTAATAAAACCTGAATAGAAATTAAGAAAGTGGGTATCAAAGTAATCTAAGTATATTTAGAGATAGTCATGTGATAATTAACTAAAATTGTGTTTATTCATATTGAAAAAACATTTAAAATTCAGTATTCATTGCCTAGATTTCCTTAATAAAATTAAAATCAACTTAGACTTTCCAATGTACCATACTCTTCAGGAACAAAACTATACATTCAGGATCTGGAAACAAAATTATACATTCTTATGCTCTAGTTTGTTCAACCTCAGAGTACTAGTAAGGGGCTTACCACACACCTACTGGAGTATAGGAAAGTTACTCCCTGCTTAGCAGTTTCTACTGGGAATATGCATCGTCCTAATATACAGATCAGGTTTTGTTCCTGTCTAAGCAGGCCAGGAGTAAGCCGAGGGCAGGGGTTAGCAAACTTTTTCTGTAAAGGGTCAAAGGATAAACATATCAGCTTTGCAGGTCATATGATCTCTGTTATATCTATTCAACTCCATATAGCATGAAAATTGCTATCGATAAATACATAAATGAATAGGTGTGGCTGTGTTCCAATAAAACTTTATTAACAGGAATAGGCAGTAGACCCGATTTAGCCCACAAGCAGTAGTTTGCCAACCTCTGGCCTCGGCTATCTGAGCATTTGTTTTATATTGTGATTAGTGATCAGGCAATAATTTTAAGGTTCTACTTAAACTATATGAAAATGGTATTCTAATACAAATATCCTATATCTACAATGATCACATATCCTAGATTTTGGGGGACAGTCCTAACATTATTTAATGTTATCCTTAATAATAACCATATATCTCAATTTGGGGTTTTAAAAAAATAGGTTCCCTATATACAGACACCTATCAAAATAATCCCTTAATATGTTAACTACCACCTTTAAAAAATCTAGTATCTGCAAATATTTGCAAATAGTGTATCCCAAAGTACCATAAAGCTAAACTTACCCTTTGGGTAGTATAAGATGGCTTTTTCTTCTTTTCAACTGTATAAAGACTGATTTCTATGTCACCTTTTGCAGTTCGACATTCTTCCTGAACCCTAATAACAAATTAAAGGTCAAAGTAACAGAAAATAATAATAAGCAAACCAACGGTTTAAAAGTCAGATAATTGAAACCCTTTTAAATGTAAAATTGATCAATGTAACCATTTTTAGGTGTGTAATTCAATAATGCATGTACCTTTTCAAATTAGAGTTTCCTCTGGACATATGTCCAGGAGTGGGATTGCTGGATCACATGGTAAGTCTGTTTCTAGTTTTTTTAGGAATCTCCATACTGTTTTCCATAATGGCTGCACCAAACTACACTCCCACCAGCAGTGTAGGAGGGTTCCTTTCCTCCACACCCTCTTCAGCATTTATCATTTGTGGACTTTTGAATGATGGCCATTCTGACGGGTGTGAGGTGATACCTCATTGTAGTTTTTATTTGCATTTCTCTGATAATTAGCAATATTGAGCATTTTTTCATGTGCCTATTGCCCATTTGTATGTCTTCATTGAAGAATTGCTTGTTTAGGTCTTTTGTCCATTTTTGGATTGGGTTGTTTTTTTTTTCTTATTAAGTTGTATTATTTTGTTTATTCTGGAAATTAAACCTTTGTCAGTCGCATCATTTGCAAATATTTTCTCCCATTCTGTAGGTTGTTGTTTTGCTTATGGTTTCCTTTGTGGTGCAAAAGCTTGTAAGTTTAATTAGGTCCCATTTTTTAATGCCATATTAGTTGTGTAACCATCATCATTATTTTCAAAACTTTTTCATCACTCAAACATAAATTTTGAAATCATTAAGCAGTAACTCTTTATTTCTCCTTCCACTAGCCCCTGTTAACTTCCTAATCTACTCTATGTCTCTATGAATTTGCCCATACTAGACATTTCATAAAAGTGGAATCATACACTATTTGTCATTTTGTGTCTGGCTTAACTCACTTAGTATAATGTTTTCAATGTTTATACATGCTGTCTGTAGCAAGTATCAGGGCTTTTAATAGCTGAATAATATTCTGCTGTATGTATATATCACATTTGGTTCATCCATTCATATGCTGACAGATACTTGAGTTGTTTCTACCATTCGGCTATTATGAATAATGCTGCAATAAACACTGGCATACAAGTATCTCAGTCTCTGCCTTCAATTCTACTTTTAACATTTTGAGCAGAGAATTATTTCAAATTGCCCTACTGCCAGGGGGTAGCATTCACTTTACAAATTAGCTATGTCTCCTTTTTTCTCATTGCTGCTAAAGAAGGAGAGGGAGAAACCAAATCAATTTTTCTACTTGTTGGCTGAGCTGGTAACAAGTTTTGTTAGGGAGATATTATGGTTGTAATGGATTTTATACTTTCTCTGTCAATGTCCTTTCTCTTTTTTAAAATCTATTTCTAGTTGCTATGCATTATCTGGAGTTAGTATTACAGCAAATGTTAAGGTTTACAAATAAGGATAGGGATTCTAAGTTTGAAATTCATCCTAATGAAATCCTTCCATCCAAAGAAGTCTACTTAAATGACATTTCTAAATACACCCTAAGCACTGGGGTCTACTAGATATCTATGGTGCACCCCCAAACTGCTCCAATATTGAGTTGATGGCCTTCTCCTCAGAACCACTGTTGAATTTTGGGTCCATTTACCACTGACATATTTAATCACATATGGCTTCATGTTATTACTTAATAGCATTTGTATTCTTATCTTCTTATCTTCTAACCTAGACTATAAATTTGTGGAAGACAGAGATCATGCTTTTCATTTTTTAGTATTCTTCAAACCATTCAGCACAAAGCCAAGCAAATTTAAGATAATCTTTAGTTATCAAATGAATTAATGGAATAATGTGGAAAAACTAATATATGACTCAGCTGAATAAAAAAAGCCTTAGTTATTAGACTAACATACTACATTTTAATGTACTTTCTAAGTTCTTACTTTTCTTATGGCTGTTACTATATTGACTCACCGACTAACCCCATTATTTAGTTCATTGACCACCACTCTTCTGCTCCATGCCATGAGATCTCGTTCAGTGGCCATCTGGCTCCGGGGAGCATTGTAATGCATTTGTCGGACACCTTCAATTTGACCACTACGTCGGAGCCCAATATTTGGGGAAGAGGATATATCCATATTTGGATTTCTCAGAGCTAAAACAAAAACAAAGAAAGGTACCAGTTTCTGAGCAAAGGCATCAAACTTTTTCAGATGAGAGCTCTAAATAAAATAGGAGATTTAAAGGTAGTACTGCTGGACAATACTGCTTGCTATCCCTTTGTTACACATTTTCTGTACCCTCTTTATGCTTTTTATAGTGCTATAAATAAAGCAGGCACTCAATAAATATTTAATGTCTCTATAACTTTTAATTTTTTTCAAGACACTTTCTGTCACTTCCTAAAT